AATCAGGCAACTAATATGACAGAAGAGGAATTTCATATGTGGATCATAAGAACACTCACCGAGCTGAAACAACAACTCAATAACCAACACAAAGAAACCACAAAAAGCCTCCAGGATATGGAAAAAGAAATAGACACAATGAAGAAAAGTGTAACCGAATCCCTGGAAAGAAGAATCAATTCAAGGAACTACAAAATACAGTGGAAAGTCTCAAGAACAGGGTAGATCAAACAGAAGAAAGAATCTCAGAGCTTGAAGATAACACCCTCCAATTAAATAAATCAGTCACAGAAATAGAGCAGAGAAACAGAGAAAAGCAAAGCCTACAAGAGCTGTGGGATTATGTGAAGAAACCTAATGTGAGGGTCATAGGCTTACCAGAAGGGGAAGAAGACAACACTCAAGGGTTGGACAAGCTGTTTGAAGATATAATAAAGGAAAATTTCCCAGGCCTTGCTCAAAATCTTGATATACAAGTTCAAGAAGCTCAGAGGACCCCTGGGAGATTCAATGCAAACAGGAAGACATCACGACATGCAGTCATCAGACTGACCAAAGTATCAACTAAAGAGGCCCTTCTAAGAGCTGTAAGACAAAAGAAGCAAGTAACATACAAGGAAAGCCAATTCGAATAACATCAGACTTCTCTAATGAGACTTTACAAGCAAGGAGAGACTGGGCCCATTCTCACTCTTTTGAAACAAAACAATGCCCAGCCTAGAAATTATTCCTGCAAAACTAAGCTTCGTATATGAAGGAGAAATAAAAACATTCTCAGACAAGCAAGGTCAGAGAATTCACCAAGACAAGACCAGCCTACAAGAAGTACTTAAACAGCGTTACGCACGGAACGTCATAATAACCCACGAATATAAAACAACCAAACCAAAGATATTAAAGGCCAGATATTACAATGGCTAAGACAGAAATCATAGCAACAACATCCAACCCAACAGAATGAACAGTAATTACCTTACCTATCAGTTCTCTCAATAAATGGTGAATGGCTTAAATCTCCACTCAAGAGACATAGGCTGGCTGAATGGATAAGAAAATACAGGCCAACTATATGCTGTCTTCAGGAAACACATCTAACCTGCAAGGATGCATATAGACTAAAAATAAAAGAGTGGAGATCAATATTCCAAGCAAATAGAATCCAAAAGAAGGCTGGTGTGGCAGTTCTAATTTCAGACGATTAGTTTTTAAAGCAACAAAGTAGTCAAAGACAACAGGGTCATTATATAATGGTGAAGGGTACACTTCAACAAGAACAGATAACATTTTAAATGATATATGCACCCAACTTAGGTGCACCAGTTCATAAAGCAACCTTACTGGAGCTAAGCAAATGATTATAGAACTCCATAATCACCGAGATTTCAACACCCACTGACGGCACGAGACAGATCCTCCAAACAGAAAATTAACAAAAATAATGGACTTAAACAAACTCTAGAACAATTGGTCTGGACTGACATTTACAGAAGCATTCTACCCAAAATCCACTGAATATACGTTCTTCTCATCAGCTCACGGGCATTCTCTAAGACTGACCATATCCTAGGACACAAAGAAATCTCAAAGAAATTAAAAAATAGAAATCAGTACCATGTACCTCTCAGATCACAGTGAATAAAAGTAGAAATCAACCCTAACAGAAACTCACATTTCTACACAAAAACGTGGAAATTAAACAACCTCCTACTAAATGATTACTTCATAAATGAGAAATCAAGACAGAAATAAAAAATTCTAGATAAAGAAAAAAAAAACCGACAATGGAGAGACAAGTTATCAGCTCTCTGGACACAGCTAAAGCAGTTCTGAGAGGAAAGTTTATCCTCATAAATGCCATAACCAAAAGACAAAGAAACACAAATAGACAATCTAATGAAACGACTCAAAGAGCTGGAAAAGAAGAGCAGACCCAACCCAAACCCAGCAAAGAAGTGAAATCAACAAGACAAATCAGACTAACGAAATTGAAAACAGGGAGAGCTATTCAGGGAGATTAATAAAACAAAAAGTTCCGTCTTTGAAAAATAAACAAATTGGCACACCATTGGCTAAGCTAACGAAAAGCAGAAAGAGAAATCTCAATAAGCTCCTCAGGACAAAAAAGAATATCACAACTGATCCCAAAGAGATAGCAAGATACAATTATGAATACTACAAAAATCTTTATCACACAAACTGGAGAATGTGGAGGAAATGGACAAATTTCTAGAAAACACACAGCCTCCGTAGGCTCAACCAGAAGAAATAGATTCTGAACAGACCAAATCTCAAGCTGAAATAGAAACAGCAATTAAAATCTCCCTAAAAGAAAAGTCCCGGTCCAGATGGCTTCACACCTGAATTTTACCACACTTACAAAGAAGAACTAGTACCTATCTGCAGAAACTATTCCACAACATCGAGAAGAACGGAAACCTCCCTGACACTTTTTATGAAGCGAGTATTACTCTGATACCAACAACCAGGAAAGGTGCAACAAAAAAAGGAAAACTACAGACAATATCCTAAGATATTATAGATGCAAAAATTTCATAACAAATCTTAGCTAACCGAATCCAGACACTTATCAAAAAATAATCCACCACGACCAAGGTGGCTTCATCCCAGGGATGCAGGGATGGTTCAACATATACAATCTATAAATGCAATTCACCACATAAACAGACAAAACAAAGACCACATGATCTTTCAATAGATCAGAGAAAAGCTTTTGACAAAATTCAACACTCTTTCATGATACGAACACTTAATAGGCATAGAAGGGCCATACCTAAAAATGATACAAGCCATATATGACAGACCCATAGCCAACATCATACTGAATGGGGAAAAATTGAAATCATTCCCACTTAGCACTTGAACCAGACAAGGTGCCCACATCTCCACTTCTTCGTTCAACATAGTGCTGGAAGTCTTAGGCTACAGCAATCAACAGGAAAATGAAATCAAAGGTATCCAAATAGGGCAGAAGAGATCAAACTTTCACTGTTTGCTGATGATATGATACTGTATCTAGAAAACCCCAAAGATTCAACCAAGAAAATCCTGGAACTGATCAATGAATTTAGTAAAGTCTCAGGATACAAAACCAATACACAGAAATCAGAGGCATTCATATATGCCAACAACAATCTAATTGGGAACCAAATCAAAGACTCAATTCCCTTCACAATAGCAACTAAGAAATTAAAGTACCTAGGAATATACTTAACCAAGGAGGTAAAAGACCTCTACAGGGAGAACTATGAAACACTGAGGAAGGAAATAGCAGAGGATGTAAACAGATGGAAATCCATACCATGCTCGTGGATCGGCAGACTCAACATCATTAAAATGTCTATACTACCCAAACTGATCTACAGATTCAATGCAATACCTATTAAAATGCCATCAGCATTCTTCACAGATATAGAAAAAAATAATTTTATGCTTCGTATGGAACCAAGGAAGACCCCGAATATCAAGAGCAATTCTAGCAACAAAAACAAAATGGAGCATTAATATGCCAGATATCAAACTATACTACAAAGCTAGTAATTAAATCAATATGGTATTGCGCACAAAATAGAATATTGACCAGTGAACAGATCTGAGAATCCTGATATAAAACCATCCTCATATAGCCATCTAATCTTGGACAAAGCAGACAAAAATATACACTGGGGAAAAGAATCCCTTTTCAATAAATGGTCTGGAAAACTGGATAGCCACCTGTAGAAGGCTAAAATAGGACCCACACCTTTCACCTCTCACAAAAACCACACTACCGCTGGATAACAGACTTAAACCTAAGGTATGAAACTATTAGAATTCTAGAGGAAAAAGTTGGAAACACTCTCCTAGACATCGGCCTGGGCAAAGAGTTTATGAAGAAGTCCCCAAAGGCAGTCACAGCAGCAACAAAAATAAATAAATGGACATTACAACTACAACCTTCTCACAGCCACCAAATAGTCATGAAAGTAAACAGACAACCTACAGAATGGGAGAAAATTTTGCATCCTATGCATCCGATAAGGGACTGATAACTAGAATATACTTAGAACTCACGAAAATCAGGAAGAAAAAATCAAATAACCCCATTAAAAAGTGGGCAAAAGAGTTGAACAGAAACTTTTCTAAAAGAAGAAGAAAATGGCCAACAAACATATGAAAAAATGCTCAACATCTCTAATCATCAGGGAAATGCAAATCAAAACCACAATGAGATATCACTTAACCCCAGTGAGAATGGCCTTTATCAAAAAATCTCCAAACAATAAATGCTGGCGTGGTTGTGGAGAGAGAGGAACACTGCTGGTGGGACTGCAAACTAGTTCAACCTCTGTGGAAAGCAATATGGAGATACCTTAAAGCGATACAAGTGAATCTACCATTTGATCCAGCAATCCCGTTGCTGGGCATCTACCCAAAAGATCCAATGACACCTACAAAAAAGACACCTGCACTCGAATGTTTATAGCACACAATTCATAATTGCAAGGCTGTGGAAACAGCCCAAGTGTCCATCAATCCAAGAATGGATTAATAAAATGTGGTATATGTATACCATGGAGTACTATTCGGCCTCTAAGAAACAATGGTGACATAGCACATCTTATATTTCCTGGTTAAGAGCTGGACCCATACTACTAAGTGAAGTATCCAAGAATGGAAAAACAAGCACCAGATATATCTCCAGCAAATTGGTATTAACTGAACAGCACTAAGTGGTCACATAGGTACTACAGTAATAGGGTATTGGCAGGGGGGGAGGCAGGTATATACATACATAATGAGTGAGATGTGCAGCATCGGGGGATGGTCATGATGGAGACTCAGACTGTGGGGAGGGGAAATGGGCAGTTATTGAAACCTTAAGATCTGTACCCCCATAATATGCCGAAATAAAAAAATAAATAAATAAAAAAATTAAAGGACAAACTCACTCTTACATACAACTAGAAAAAAAAAAAGAGAGAAGGCATGACTCAGTAGGCAAAGGTTTAAGACAGTGTTTTATTTTCATAATGAATTAATCTCCATGAAGGGCATTTTTCACACTGGTAAATACACTTTAAATGACTCAAGAACTTTAGATCCCATCTCCTAAATAAGACTATCAGTTCCTTAACGGCAAGGAATACAATACTATCCTTATTTACGTTCCTTTCAGCATATACCTCATAGAAGTAGCACAAAAAGCTAACTTAAATTCCAGGCTAGATCCACAGCCTCGGCGCCACTCAATGGGTATAGTAACATGAACAATGTAAAGTTCTAGTTGGTTTGTGGAATCGACCACAGGACATGACCAGATCTCCCAGGGACAAAGTAAACAAAAAAGCCAGTGTTAGTTTTGTCCCACGACAGAGTGAGCCTGAGAATCTGACCCAGCCTGGGCCCTACTGGTTTGAACCTGATGGGTTAAGATTCCAGGGTAAGAATGTCTGACAGTCCTTCTGCAGTCCCCACACCTGTGCCTCTCTGTGAAACCTACTCAACAGCAGAGAGAGTGTGGAGCTGGAAATTCGAGTTCTGCCTCTTCAACTGCCAATGTTATGTTTCACACAACTGGTTAGTAAGGAATATATAGCATGCATTTTTAATCCAATCATTTGCAAATTAATAAGGAAAGTAATATACCAACATAATATTTAGCTGTACAAGATGAAAATCTTAAGAATTTGTACATGTATCATATGGAACATTTTTATTCCTAATTTATACTTTGTAAGATATTTGACAATGTACAAAGAATACCCAGTTCCAGGTGGTGATGGTTTTGTGTTATTTATTTACAAAATTTCACCACATAATAGGCACTACCTTTTAAAAAAAAATCAGCATTGGTCCTATAAAGGCCACTAGGATAAATTCTTAAGCCTACAAAAGACACCTTAGTGCCACTGCTCCCAGGCTTATTTTATTAACTAAAATCTGACTCCAAAGCCCACATATGATTTCTAGTTCCAGTTATACACAGTCATTCTGAAGTACAACAATCTAACTGGAGTCAGAGGACAGCGGAGGACCCAAGCAGTCCTATGAACCTCTCTGAGAGGTGTATGTGAGCCTATTGGTCATATCCTTCCAGCTATAGCGCCCTTTATTTGTAATGGGACCGCCAGGTCTTACCATTATGCTAAAACATGGTTGCTCTGGGGAAAAAAAGGCTTTCTTTAAACCAGCTAGATGGGTCAGGAGGGTAAGTAAAAAATGGCTATTGGTAGTGAAAAATAGTCTCATTTCTTCGAACTTTTTCCTTTTCCTTTTCTGGACTCCTTATCTTTTTCTGGTTTTGAAGTCTTTGAAGATTTTGTCTTTTTCTGTTGAAGGGGGGGAAGAATGCACAAAATAGTTAGTAACTATATTTATGAATAAATGAAATAAGTTCATCTCTATAATCTAATCTTTATCTGCAACTAAATTTAACCACTTTGATACGGCGCTCACTGGCCGCGAAACCTTGCCCATAGCCGGCACTCATAGTCCACACGATAGTCTGTGCTGTGCATTGACAACGGATCCGTTTTGCTCTTGTGTGATGAGGAAAGCTTGTAAGCACTGAAAGCTTGTTTTACTTTACAGGCAGCTTTACTTGTAATGTAAATCAGAATAGGTAACATATACATATATGTTTTCATTACGTTATTTTTAAGTGCTCACAATTTTATTTTGATAAATGAAAAATTAGAAAAGTCATATCACGGCTGTGGGCTAAAGTCGATGCTTGGCTGTGCGCGTTCATCTGTGGCTGCTGACTATAGTCGACGCTCATACCGAAGTGGTTAAAAAGAAGAAAGGTTGCAAACATCTAAATCTTGGACTATCGCTACCTCTGGAGAGCTAGCTTTCAAGCAACAACTGGGCTAGTTACAGGCTTTAAAAGTCAGCAGTAAAAAATGAAAAGCTATCTAAAACTAAGATATGTTGCCCATGAAAGGCAATTTCTTTGAGGTAAAACATAGGTATATTTAAGAAAGACAAAATAAGCAACAGATAATTTACAAATAGGATAATGTTTACATGAAGAATTTCCTTTCAGTTTTAGATGAGATATCTAAACACAGTCATTTTGTGAAGGGGAAGAAAAGGAAAGGGAGACCACCTCTCATGTCTTGGTCCCACGAGAGCTGCGCTGGAGAAGCCATGTGCCCACCCTGCACACAGAGCGGGGACCGAGGGCGAGCAGCACGCACGGCGAGAGAGGAGGACACGACTAAGCTCCTCTGCCTCAGCTTGTCGTGGACAGTGGGCCGATACCAAACTATAATATTTTTAGTCTTTCCCAGCAAAAGACAAGGATGTTTTGCATTGAGAAACTTCTATAGGCAATTCAATGACTACAGCAAAGCGCAAATGACAGAAGGGAGAAATGGTTTTGTTAAAAAGTTTTTCTTAGGCTGGGCGCGGTGGCTCACGCCTGTAATCCTAGCTCTCTGGGAGGCTGAGGCGGGCGGATTGCTCGAGGTCAGGAGTTCGAAACCAGCCTGAGCAAGAGCGAGACCCCGTCTCTACTATAAATAGAAAGAAATTAATTGGCCAACTGATATATATATATAAAATTAGCCGGACATGGTGGCGCATGCCTGTAGTCCCAGCTACTCGGGAGGCTGAGGCAGAAGGATTGCTTGAGCCCAGGAGTTTGAGGTTGCTGTGAGCTAGGCTGATGCCACGGCACTCACTCTAGCCTGGGCAACAAAGCGAGACTCTGTCGCAAAAAAAAAAAAATGTTTTTCTTGAGTATGCTGTGGAAATGTGTCTGTGGATAAGAAAGCATATACCAATGGCCAAATAAATAAAAATGTTACTTTTTCTAACAGAACATACGACCATCAATATGACGGGCCTATTTTCTGGCTATTTGCCCTTCCACTGCTATAAGAAGCTGTTGATAAAAATGAAATCTTTACCTGTTCCTCCACCTTCAACCATGATAAGTGAAAAACATTATTTTCAACTAACTCTGCTACTTACTAAATAAGCCCTATTATTCTCAAGGCAAGTTATATACAAGAAAAGATCATTCAGTTCTCCTGTCTGTGCCTTAAATACTACCTTGACCATGGCATCAGTCTCTATAGCGTCTTGGTCTTTCTCGTCAGACTGAGAGTCATCCTCATTTAGCTCTGCACCGTACTCAGCGTCCAGCCACAGGCCTGCGCTGTGTCTCGATGTCTTTACTGCTTGAAGTGGGTACGGAGTGAGGCGGGCCTCCTTGTTATAAGCTCTCGTGAAGGCTGCTTTCACCTATGTGAAAGGGATAGAGGACGTCTTAAAAATCCAAGTGCCAAACAATTCTTTTCAACTTCGCAAGCATAAAGGCTTTAAGAGACCCTGGGGAGCCTCTTGAAACTATCTGTACAATGTTTATGCATATACATGTAAATAGAAGTATATGGACTTTTCTGTGGAGAAGTTCCATATTTTTCATGACATTTTTAATAGAGCCCATGACTCAGAAAAGACTAAGAATCAGTATTTGGGAGCTTTAGGCAAACAAAATCACTTCTAGTTATCATTTCTATCTATTTAGTGCTCCCCATATTTCTAACAAAATAATAAGCAAAGTTAAGTATTAAGTTAGTCTTTAATTACAACAAAACACATAAATTACCTTTACCACAATAATAATAGTTACTTCAAAATACTAAGTAACATGAAAAGTCTTAACTTTAAGCTTCTAAACATAATTCCAGAATTAGTCCATGAATTCTAACAAATAGATGTCTGCTGTGAGAATTTATTGGTAACCATTAAGTTAGGTCAAAATTCTAGAGAGGGCGAACCACAGAGAACGTGTCTTCTAAAGCAGTATCCCACAGACAGGCACAAGAGTGGGGTGTTAGATATTACATATTCATATTATATCACTTTAGTGTTTTCATGCTCATTACAAAAAGGAAAGAGGAGATATGTTATTACAAAGAAGAGATATGTAATTACAGATTGAGTAGATGGAGAAAAAGAAAAATTATAAAAATCCTCAGCCAGTAAACGCATCTTTATTCACATAATCCATCACCACCACCACATCTCACTTTTAATTCCCCAGGTTCATCCCCCTACTACTGTATAAGGAATATGTTTATATTTGTTCTTCATATTTCACTTTTTGACTTTCCACTGAGCATGGAGCGAAGGTAAAAACATAACCTGCAAAGTCGAACTCAGAAGTCTGCTCTTACTGCTGTGCTCAGCTGGTGCCTTTGGGCAGCATAGGCCATAGGGAAAGCCACAAGCCTTTAAGGGAGGAAGAAAGTTAACCTTTTTTTAAAGCATCTAAAACATCTCTGAAGTCTCCTAGTACAAGCCTGGTGATTACCAAGTGACAGAGAACAAGTAGGTTACACAATTTACCTTGGGATCCAGCTTTGAAAAGGGACTAGGTTTGCCTCCCCAGCTGCTAATTTCCATGATATTCTCAAAGTCTTCTTTCATCAAATAATATGTGTCCATAAGTGCAACAACATCCTGTACTCCTTCTACCCCTTGTGAGGTCAAGGGCTGCACAAGTGCATCCCTTATGTGTGACAAATAATCCATGTTTACAGTCCTTTTGCTGGAGTAAGTTCTGAAACCAAGAGACATACCTGTCATCAGTGGCGAACTAGCACCAACTCATACTGTGCATATCAACACCGAGTTAATCAGGCAGAGTTCGACCCAATTTTAATAATGCTCAGTGGGTTGCCTACTGCTTCACAGCCAGCGGTGTATGGACAGTCCACACCACACCCCCAGGGGAATAGATGCACATCAATGCGCTCAGAGGGAATTTTCCACTTACCTGGATCAGTGACTGAAAAAACCAATGTGAGTTCCACCGTACTCTTAAGGCCCCGGCAATAGCAGTGTTTCTCTATGTTCACATGAATTGTAGCCATAAAGATTACTTGTCCAAGTTCCAAATATTGAAAGCATCAGTAAAAGGCAATGAAATGTCCTGCCTCAAGTGCTACTGCCACTTCTTACTTGAGTGTGTGTAACCCTTTTGGTCTCTGATGGTAACATACAAAATTACATGAATGCTTCCCCTCACATCCCCTAATAGTGTTGCTCTGACATCTTCAGTTCTAGGGCAGAGTTTTCCCCATATCTAAGAAAACTGCAGAGAATGTTCCTGTAGAATCAAAAAGTGATCCACACTGCCCAGTGAAATACTTAGGGAGCCATCTCTGATCTGCTGAGAACTAGAATGTTACTTTTTCTCTTTTAAATGTTGTCACTTCTTAAAGACAGAAAATCTTGCAACTGAACAAAACATTATTTCAAATGCCACCATCCTAAATTTTTCCAACCTAGCTGAGTCCTTCAAACCAAGATATTATATGTATACATATTTTAAACAAGAAACCTCGGCCAGGCACAGTGGCTCACGCCTGTAATCCTAGCACTCTGGGAGGCTGAGGTGGGCAGATCGCTCAAGGTCAGGAGTTCGAAACCACCCTAAGCAAGAGCGAGACCCCCATCTCTACTAAAAAAAAAGAAAAAAAAAGGAAAGTAGCTGGACAGCTAAAAAATATATATATAAAAAAATTAGCCGGGCATGGTGGCACATGCCTGTAGTCCCAGCTACCTGGGAGGCTGAGGCAGGAGGATTGCTTGGGCCCAGGAGTTTGAGGTTGCTGTGAGCTAGGCTGACGCCACAGCACTGTAGCCAGGGCAACAGTCTCAAAAAAAAGAAAGAAACCTCAAAAGCTGTTGGTATCAGAACCCACATTAGAATCAGAAAAGAAATGGTTCTTTATAAATTACCTATGGGTCCTGCTCCTGTCTTCACGTAACTGAATGTCTGAACTCTAAGAAGCCACATAGTTCTTCTGGTCAGAAGTCTAGAACTTTGCCCCCGTAACTGTTTTATTACCTAGACAAAGAATTTTTAAAAAGTCTATTTTAATTTCACCCATTTCCTCGAGATTTGGTCTTCCATAATCAAGCACACTAATACTTGAGGAGAAGTAGTATAAATCCCTACGCCACAGTACCCAAGAAAATCATGGAACCATTTCTAAAATTATTCTCTTGTAATTTGTTATAATATTGTCATCTCCTAGTAGAATCACAGAACATTAAACCTAGAAAAGTCTAAAGGTGCCATCTAACATACCTAGATCAAGGGTTTGTAACAACCTCAGGAATCTGTAATTCCCCTAAAATTACATTATTTGTGTACTTGTACATTTTGGGGAGAATAAAGATTAAAGCTTTCAGATTCTCAAAATAATTTATGACCCCCCCAAAAGAACTAATAATAATATAATAATTATTATTATATTATTATTATTAAGAACTAATAATAAAATTACATGTCCATTTTTTTTAAATGAAGCAAAACTGAGGCCTATAAAAGTTCAGTGGGTTGATCAGAGTTAAAAAGTAGGAAGCTCTTCACTTAGTTAAAAAATCATGAAATTCACCATAAAAGTCCTTGTTGATAATAATGTCCTGTATATGGTTAAAAAATATTAACTGAGCAATTGTATGTGCTAGATAAGTAAGCATCATTTCCTAAGCCCAGAAATACATGGTCTAATGGGGGAAGGAGGACAGACATACAATAGGACAGCCCTAAAACAACATGCAAGTGCAGGGCTCAAAATCGACCAGGAATAGAATGGGAGCATCCAAGAGGGATGCCCTAGGGCAGAGGGACGCATGGCCTTTAAAAATGGTGGGCAGGGAGCAGAGCTGAGGGGCAGGCACTCAGCCCGACCAACGAGAAGACGAGGGTAATGCAGCCTTTTCCAATCTCCAGAGGCCACCCACTCCTTGGCTAGTGGTCCCTTTCCCCAACCTCCAAGGCAGGTAAGTAGTATCTTGAACTCTCTGACTCTGACACTGCTGCCTCCCTTTCATAAAGACCCTTGTGATGACACTGGGCCCACCCAGATAATCCAGGATGATCTCCCCAGTTCAAGATGACAATAAATTTGTGTAGCTTTGCCAGGGGTCCCCAAACTACGGCCCGCCAAGGACATTTATCCGGCCTGCGGGGTGTTTTTGCCGCCGCTGCCTGTCCTGCTTTAGCAGCCGACTCATCTCGGGTCCACAGTGCGCATGTGTGGAATGTGCCCGCACTCTCCAACGGCCCTGCAACCGTCTGAGGGGCAGTGAACTGGCCCCCTGTTTAAAAAGTTTGAGGACCCCTGGTTAAGCCATTATGTTTGTGATAATTCGTTATAGCAGCTACAGAAAACTAATATATGGGTAGGCAAAAAACACTAAGCCATATGCTAGGAAGGAGGGACTTAGTGGGAAGTCGAATTTTACAGGAACAGAGGAGAGGCACTTGCTCAGTTCAGCTCTAACCAAAAGTTAAGGGTGGATCTGAGGATCAAATATTAACATTTTCTCCAGGGACTAGAAAGGGAATTAAGATTACTCAAGTAGTTCTTCATGGCTAAAAATGAATCCCTAAAGTTCACTTAATATTTGTGTGCATGCACATTTTCCAAGTTTCTGAACTTTAACCAAATTGTACAAAATACTAATATTTTTAACACATTGACTGCCACACTAGAAAAATTTTTTTTTCCTTGGGGCCACAGTATTTTATTATAAAAATAGGATAAAAACTTTGAAAATAAAACAATCCTTCCTAATTTAATGAAAAATTAATTTTTTATTGTTTTCTGCACATGAGTTATATGCAATTAAATTATCAATATTAATCATAACAGTAAGAACATCAAGTAGGATTTTCACGAACCACCTGCAGGGTTTTGCCTAGGGGGCCATCCATCATGTAACATGTATGCTACAGCACAGCAGCATGAGCTGCCTGTGTACTATACGGCTCCCAAGGTAAAGAGACGTGTGAATTACAGATGCTTCATGAGGCCCTGGGCTCAAAACTAGCGTGAATTAAGTACAACTCACATGGCAGTTAATGTATTAAACTTCCCTAAACTTCTCTAAGCACATTAACTGTCAATTACTTGAGTGGCCTCCTCCTGTTACATCCTAAACTGTGTTCCTCTTCCCAAATGAGTGGGTCAATTAACACTAAAATAGGTAAAAAAAAAAAAACTAGTTCATTTCTTTAAATAGCTCAATTTTTTCCTATTAATTATTCTGAAGCTGAGAAGTTATTCCTACAAGTAATAGGCATAGTCACAATAACCATAAATAATAGCACTACCCCAGATTTATATAGTCTTTAAAATTTATCTTAAAATTATGGTATCTACCAGCTGGCTTTACTCTCCCCAAAGCATCTTTCAAGCAACTGTTATAGTGATCACAGATGATACAACTCAGGCCCATAAAATATAATGAACTTATCCAGGATCATTTATCTAGTGAGCAATAAGATCAAAACTAAAACATAAATCTTTTGACTCCTGCTATCCCTATCAGATAAAAGCTGAATATAGCACACCAATAAAATACCAGAAATGGAATAATGCCACCTACTTGAGACTCATATGCAATGCCAAGTCCTGAACAATACGGTCATGTTTGCCTGTAGATGAGTGCTTCCCCAGCCAGCTCGGGAAGGTGGGGAACTGGGTCATGTACCCCCTCATCAACTCTCCAGGAAGAACACTGGCATAAATGGCCTGAAAAAAAAAAAAGCAATTGCAGTCCAGAATTTATACTCAGTACAAAGTTACTTCCTTAGCAGCTGGTGACTTCCCAACAGTCTACAGAGAATGAAGAACACTGTCCTGGGTGCCTACTTACAGGGCAGCCAGGCCCTTTCCCTGCCTCTGATCTGTTGGTATGGGAAACTTCTCCCAGAGAAGACAACAGACTGCAGGACACACCTGGGTCCAAAACATGTCATGGCCCTCAGAGAGATCTTGCCAACTCAGCCTCCTCAAACAACTGACCTCAACACACCACTGATCTCATGGATGCCAATGTCACAGCAGAAAATTAGCTTAACAGGAATCAGATGGTCTTCAACATAAGTGACTGACAGCACAGGTAGATTAAAGCATGGAAAGTCTAATAATTAGAAAATCAATTAAACTGGTACTTGAGAAAAAAATGTATCCTTAGATGGATGTCTTCTATGTCTAGGGTTTTTCCTTTTTAAAGGCTGGTATCATATTCTGCATAAATTTTATATCCTGCTTTATTCTAATAAATATTCTCTCATAACCATTTTTTCCATATTACATAATCTTTATAAATAATTTCAAAGGCTACATAATATTTCATCAAGAGGATTTATGACAATCATTCTCCTGTTCCCGGACATGGAGATTTTCTCTAATTTTTGAGACTATTAGACTTATTTAGACTTATATTAGACTATATTTAGACTTACAATAGACTTCTCTAATTTTTTGCTATCAGAACTAATGCTTTAGGGATTTTTTTTTTTTTTTTTTTTTTGAGACAGTCTCTCACTCTGTTGCCCCAGCTAGAGTGCCATGGTGTCAGCCTAGCTCACAGCAACCTCAAACTCCTGGGCTCAAGCGATCCTCCTGCCTCAGCCTCCCCAATAGCTGGGACTACAGGCCTGCACCACCATGCCTGGCTAGTCTTTTATATATATAAGCTGTCCAGTTAATTTATATATATATATAATTTATATATATAAGCTGTCCAGTTAATTTCTTTCTATTTTTTTTGGTAAAGACGGGGACTCACTCTTGCTCAGGCTGGTCTCGAACTCCTGAGCTCAAATGATCCACCGGCCTCGGCCTCCCAGAGTGCTAGGATTACAGGCATGAGGGGAATATTTTTATATATTAAGCTTTTCCTGTGTTTAAAATTATTTCTTCAGGATAAAGTCTCAAGGCACGATTATTTTAACTTATCTCAATGGTCCTGAAAAAGGTACAATTAAGTAAAGAAAAATAAAAACTTTTAAACATAAGAGAAAGGATTCCAGAATGAGTTTTTGGTTTCTGTTTTCAAGCAATGTGTGGGTAGAATTAAGAGAAGGGAAGGGCAGGCATCCTGGAAGCCCCTTGCTTCTAGAACTCAGGCCAACAATTCCGTGTAAATATACAAATAACACTCTTAATGTGAATGTTTGCCAAACTCTGTTTTAAAGTTAAAGCTATCAATACCTAAATATAGCTCACAATATAACGCGCTCTCTCTGGCAAGGCAGAAAATCAGAACTCACGTATCAGAAAGACGCCACTGAGCTGCCTGCCATGGCTGCACTTTTTCAAGGAGGAGCTACTTAGTGACCACCTGGGAGAGCTAAGCATCATCCCCTCCCCCCAAAAAAGGATTCTTAAAGTAAAACAGAGCAAATCAATCTTTTGATTCACATCTTACTTACAAACCAAAATCTAACCTTCCTATTTCCATGTGTCCATTTACATAAAAACATTTTGAAACACCGAAAATAAGGCCAGATTAAGATATAGACAATGGGGACCATAAAGTATTTTAATCTGTTAATAGATTATATTTCTGCCATAAGAGCCATACTATTTACCTGGTATTTCAAGTGATCACAGGCACTAGAAGTTATATATTTTGCTCTCTTTAACTAAACCAAAGTCTGTACTTTAATTACCTGTGTGGGCAGAAGACTCCAGTTTTGCTTACTCCGGATCTGACTGTCCACTAAGTCACCATCACATATGCTATCTGCTGCTCGGCTTAAAAGCATCAAGTGCTTTTTCATGTCACCCCTGCAGGAAAGAACCAGTCTGGATTACACTGCTCTCCACACACCAGGTCCCTCCCTCCTAGATATCTGGCCTCCGCAGTGCTGGAAGGGTACCAGTCCTACCCCTTACTAGCTCTGAACACTCACCCTGCAGCTACAGGCTTCACATGTAGGTAGTTCTCCTGGACAAAGAGGGGTGCTATTGAATAATCATGAAAAAAGAGATCTGACTTGTCCATAAGTGACATATGAGCAGTCTCCTCTCCAGTTGCAAACACTTTCCGGGCAACATCAAATGGGCCCTAAAAAGAGAGAAGGACACATATGTTAGAATGGACAAAATCCAAAACACTGACAGCACCAAAAGTAGGTGTAGATGTGGAATAACAGGAACTCTCATTCATTGCTGGTGGGAATGCAAAATGGTATAGACACTTTGGGAATGCGAAATGGTACACTTTGGAAGACAGTTAAGCAGTTTCTTACAAAATTAAACATACTCTTACTACATGATTCAGCAATTACATTCCTTGGTATTTACCAAAATGAACTGAAAACTATGCCTACCCAAAAAGCTCCAAACAGATGTTTATAGCAGCTTTATTTATAATTGCAAAAAGTCAGAAGCAACCAAGATGTGCTTCAGCAGGTGAATGGACAAATAAACTATGGTACATCCAGACAATGTAATGTTATTCAACAACTAAAAGAAATGAGCTATCAGGTCATAAAAAGACATGGAGGAACCTTAATTGCATATGACTAAGCGAAAGAAGCCAATCTGAAAAGGCTACATACTGATGATTCCAATTATGTGACATCTGGAAAAGGCAAAACTATGGAGACAATAAAATGATCAGTAGTTGCCAGGGATTAAGAGGGAGAGAGGGATGAACAGGTGGAGCACAGAGGATTTTTAGGGCAGTGATACTACTCTGCATGATACATACGCGGCACTGTTCATTTGTCAAAAGTCATCAAAGGCACAACACCAAGAATAAACCCTAATATAAACTATGGACTCTGGGAGATAATGGTGTGTCAGTGCAGGTTTGTTGACTGCAACAAATGTCCCACTGTGGTGCTGGCTTTTGACAGTAAGAGAGGTAGTGCATGGTTGGGGGGAGAGGGGGAGGTGGATAAACGGGAACTGTCTGTACCTTCCATTCAATTTTGCTATGAACCTAAAACTGCTCTAAAAAATAAAGTACATTATTTTTTTTTAAAAGGGGCTTAATCATTCCTCTAATAATAAATTCTGACTAGTGACTAGGTAAAATGGAACACAGAGGTAATTGACATAGACCTCTAATTTTGGAGAGATTATTAAACTAAACCATCTGAAACATTATTCTGAAGAGTACAAAACCATTCAAAACATGAAGCCATATGTAAGAAACTCCAGAAAAGCCATTTATAACCAAAGCATGAGTATAAATTAAAACCTATCCCTTTGTCAAAATGCATAATTCACGCATTGACATGTATGGGGAGAAATCCATTTGAAATAAAAACAGTTTTAGCACCTGTCTATAGCTCTTATCATAAACATCCATGTGTTCTACACGTGTATCAAGGAACTATAATAACTATTTCTATTAAGCTAATACCTACAAAACAAGAATTGTTTTGGCTTGAGAAAGTAACAGAAATGGAAATTTATTTTACCAGTTTGATATCCTTTTTGGCCCTATGAGAATCAGCCTTGGCCTGGTCATAGGTTAATGCCTTATTTCCTGCACACCACATACTGAGATTGTGTAAAACCTAAAAGAATCACAAATAAGACAATGTCAAGATGGGAAAATACTACTTCTCCCCCTCCCTGGAAGCTTGAAGGCATCAATTCAAAAGAATCAACAACTATCATATAGTAGATATTTATTTTACCTGTCTAATATCTTGATTGGCTCCCAAAATTATTTCATTCATAGCTGGAGGGGGAATCTTCAAACCCTCTTTAAATGCAATAGACATCATAGCACCCTGAAATTGACAAGAGGAGGAATCTTCAATGATTTTTAAAAAACTAATATAATCATATATTTTAAAAATATTTAGCAGATACTTTAAAAAACAGACCCTTAAATAAATAGGATAGTGTAATGGGAAAAAAAATTTCAATCATCATACCTTAATCTGTTCAACCCGAGGTCTTTGAAAACGAAGATCAAAACAATAATGAACCAAAGAACGAATCTTGGGATGATTTCTATCATTGCACATACAAATAATGGGAATTCTGGTATGTTTTATCAGGCCAATTAATTCCTGAAAGGCAAATTTGCAACACAAAAATAATTATTTAAAAAATAACAAATACCACACAATTTATTTTAGCTTTTAAAAACTTCCTCAGGCCAGGCGCAGTGGCTCACGCCTATAATCCTAGCACTCTGGGAGGCCGAGCCAGGCGGATTGCTTGAGGTCAGGAGTTTGAAACCAGCCTGAGCAAGAGCAAGACCCCGTCTCTACCATAAATAGGAAAAAATTAATTGGCCAACTAATATATATAGAAAAAATCAGCTGGGCATGGTGGCACATGCCTGTAGTCCCAGCTACTCGGGAGGCTGAGGCAGCAGGATCACTTGAGCCCAGGAGTTTGAGGTTGCTGTGAGCTAGGCTGACCCACGGCACTCACTCTAGCCTGGGCAACAAAGCGAGACTCTGTCTCCAAAAAAAAAATAAATAAAAAAACTTCCTCGGCTACAGAACACTTGAGATGCTACTAAAAAAATAAAAACAAAACTTCCTCAGCAACATGCCTTAATTGTGTAAATATCAGAGCATGATAATGTCTTAAAAATCTAAAAATCCACAGTAAAACTGCAAAAATAAGGCACTTTCATTACCTGAATTCCTCCCCTGTCCTCATTGCCTGCCATGCCGTCCACCTCATCCATGATGAGAGCATGCTTTGTACTTCTGGAACAGGCTGCTCCGTCTAGCCCAGGCGGAGGGTCAAGAGATGGGACAAAAACAAAATGACAATTGTTCAAAACCTGCTTTATATTAAATTATATAACACATAGAAATTATATAGAAACTCTCCCTGCCGCTCCTTCCCTGGCACGCCCAGTCTCCCTCCCCTGAGGCGGACAGCAGCCTCTTGTCTACCCTTTAAGGGATGCTCTGTATGTATTAAATAAAAACATGTGCGCACAAAGATACGCACCTTGGTTTTGTCATTTAATATATTTTGGTGATTTGTTCTTTATCTGTATATATATATATATATATATAACAATTCATTTTTTAAGGCAATTCAATATTCCATTTTATACATGTCATAATTTACTTAATCACTGTTAATGAAATTAGGATGCTTCGAAGTTTTTGCTATTATAAGTCATGCTATACAATATCCTTTCATATCTCTATATGTGTCATTTTGCACATACATGAGCATAAGAGCTAAATTCCAGGAATTGAAACTTCTGAGTTAAAAGCTATATTTAATTTAACTGTGAGAGACACCGCCAGACTGCTCTCCAGGGTCATACCAACTTCCACTCTAACCAGCCATGTGTTAAGAGTAACATTTCCTGAGCAACTTCTTTTGATCAAAGATTTTCTACCACTGAAAGTGCCAAGAATTCAGGTGACAATGCAACACACCCTAGACTCTGAATAGCCACTGTGCAGCCCTTAATTTGGGCATCGTGCTTTCCCCATGAACTCTGGCCACGCGGGGCCATTAGCCACAACCTGAAACAGTGCAGTGGGCACTCTCAACCGTGGCTCCTCTCATCTTCCACTACCTTTGCCTGAGATGACCTCTTCTACCTCCGAACAGTTCTCTTTCTCACTGAGGCCTTTCAAACAAATACCCCTTTATCTCAATGTCCCAAATGCAATTATTTCTTCATCTACAGGCCTTTATCCACCTCACTCATCACACTATATTACAGTCATTTATTTTGTTTTCCTCTTTACAAGATTCACCTGTGAATCCTCTAAAAATCATATGCAGATTACATAAATATGTGCATGTACACATTTTTATTACATTCTCAGAAACCTCTAAGACCTAAAAAAGGGTACGTATTGCCCCTTAAGAGTTATGTCAGAGGCTTTCTTTTTCTCGTTAGTCCAGGGGGTTAGCAGGGTGCTTGGCATATAGTAGCGTTCAATACTGGTTACTAAACATTGAAATGAACTTCTTTTTCTTACATAACAACAAAAACAGTTCAGAAAGCCACATACTTGAATAAAAGGCTTTGATGCTGGTATTATCCAGTGATTCAGCAACAAATGCCTTCAAACTGTTCTTACTCCTAGTATCACTTGCATTCAGTTCCACGTAGGTGTATCCCAATTCCTAATTAAAATATTGGAAGTCATTACCATCACAAGTTCATTTACCTTCCCCACAAAAAAGGCCAGTTAAGAGAGAAAGAGGGCCCTCATTCCCTCTTCCTGATTTCTAAGAAGGAAAAAAAAACAACAAAAGAGAGTACAAAAATCACATTAAAGAATCATAGGTAAAAATATAAAGCATAACAACAGACAATGAGATTAACTATAATATACCTCACAATATTAAAAATTTTTTAATTTTTAGACTATCATATACATGCATACAACACACACAAATAAACACACAAGTCTGGTCTTAAAACTTCAGCTAGCAAATGACTAATCTAGAAGAATATATTTGAACAAGCAATTTTACTAAGTTTACTTCCAAACGTCCTAAAAAGAATTAAATATAATCATCCCAAGAATTCAGTATTAGATATAGAATTAATCTATTATAAGATACCAAAAAGTAATTCTCTTTAAGATAAATTACAAAGTTAAATCATTGTCAAGTTATCCCCAATAAACAATTTTCCTCTCAAATCATGAAAGTTCAAGTTATTTTGATTCACTTCTCAAAACTGATAAATAAAATGCTTAATTCAATTCCCAAAAACCTAACGTCAATAATACAGAGAGAAGAGTCATGTTCACAATTTTAGAGACTAGGAAAAAATATATATTTTTTGCTTTTTCTTTAATGCTTATAAATACAGTAAAAAACAAAAAATTTATATTCAAATGTTATGTACTGGTCTGATTTGGTCCAGTGCTTAGGAAAATCAAGTCCTTTCATTGTCTGGAGATCCAGCAGCGACAGAGACAAGAACGAAGGCGCTATGACAGTGATGACAAGTAGAATCCTGATTCGAACAAGCTGAGCTTAAACTGGGCCAACAGCCTCTCTTCTCCAAGCCTTTTTCATTTGTCGCATGTGGATAACAGTACATAGATTTAGTGCACAGAATTCAGTACACAGAATTATTACAAGGGTAATTATAAGATATCTGTACCTTTCAGGATCTGTAACACATATTTGTATTATCTATAAGATACTGTACCCAAGTACTTAGCATACTGCCTGGCTCATGGGTAAATATTACCTATTATTATAATTATCAATACTAGAAAAGGATGAAAATTACAAATATCACCAGAACCAAAGCAAATTCTAAAAGTTTGATTCTAGAAAAATATACATCATAGGTTTATATACATACATCACAGACACATTCACACATATACATTTATTTCTCACACAAGACCACTCCGAGGTTATCTTCCCAAGCACGCTACAACAGAGGACCTACCTGACACACCAGAGAAGCTGTGGTGGTTTTGCCAACACCCGGAGGGCCTGAGAGTAGCGCCGCTTTAAAACTAGAGCCATCATCTTTGCCGGCAAATTTACCAAACTTTGCTGCTAGGAAAAAAGAGGTTCCAGAGTGTTAACCTGCATCACCTAAAAGAAATTCAGGAATGGCAGGAATAGTTGTGCATAAACTTCACATAGAGAGCAGTCCTCCAATCTGACTCTAAATTTGCAGAATTAAATTTGCAGAATATTTTCTATAAAATATTAAAGTTTCCGGAGCATTTACTGAAATTCTACTCCCTACCTTAGCTCTACCCAAAATAAGAAACTAAAACTAATTCACTTTAAAACTCTGCATTTGAAACAATAGTATTATGAGTTTCCTTTCCTACAAATCCACATGCTAGGAGCACGATGCCTGAACTCTGATCCTAACTCCTAATGCCACCTCTTGCCAGCTGGGAGCACTTTAGAAGTGACTTAACCCTCTGTGCCTATCTCCTCAATAGTAAAGTCGCTGGTAGGGATGTTGTGAGGATAGAAGTGCTGAACACAGAGCCTGACATGCCTCAACAAATGTTAACAAGTATAATCAGCTACATGATCACAAAAAGAAATACGAATTTGAAGATGCTGTGTCTGTAACTATCTTGCACCACTCAACCCTAGAATACTCTTTTTCCCTTCACTACCTGGGCACATGGCACATAAATCATGCTCAATACATACTCAATAACTCAGAGAGATATGGTTAAACCTCTTGCCAAGAGAAAACTGAAGCCTTAAAAAAGTCTTTTCCAAGCCTGGGCAACACAGTAAGATCCATCTCCATAAAAAATTTAAAAGTAGCCAGGCGTGGTGGCACAGGCCCATAGCCCCAACTACTTGGGAGGCTGAGGCGGGAGGATCACAGGAGCCCAGGAATTCAAGGCTGCAGTGAACTGTGATGATGCCGCTGCATGCCAGTTGAGACAACACAGTGAGACCCTGTCTCTTAAAAAAAAAAAAAAAAAAAAAAAAAAACATTCTTTTTTCATTTAAACAGTCTTCTCTAGGTACATGAAACACTTGCTCTCCACCCCCACCCCCACCCCTTGCATTTTAAGGTAGATTTTAGGTGGTTTCAGAAAGAGGAAAAAATGTAAATTTTAAAATTTAAATTTAACCTGTATCATTGCAATTTTATTATCTAACTATTATAAATAAACTGGCATCATAGGCAAGGTCTAGCAACCACCTACATATTAATAACCCAGTTATCACTGTGGGGATTCACCATGATGCTCACTAAATTTTGCCTTTATTTGTTCCACACTATCCCCCAGGGCCGCAGTTGAAGCTTAAGAAAACACTAACATTTGAGATCTGAAACCTCAGTTCCAAAAATATATATTATGGCATTTCAGTTTCCATGACAAATACATAGCAAACAAGCACAGAAATTACAGAAGCACAAGCCCATCAGGGCTATAGAAAGCAGATAGCACAAGCTACAAGGATGTTAGGCTGACTGCTCTGAGCACACGCCTCAGTCTTTCCTGACACCTTTCCCTGCAGTGCCCAAGGCACTCCCAGTGGTCTTGCTCTCACATGTCTTCAGACCTTGAGATGTGTTCTCTTTCCCACCCAACTCCAGCCCACTTCACCCAGCCACCTCCGACCTGGTTTCCATCCTTCCTCCCAGGATAGGCGCACACATCCCCACTCATGACCACATACGCCACCCCCGCAGCTCCCACTCCCTACCCTAGGGCAGAGCAGCACATTTTAATGGCTGGTTCAGATATATCTCCCCACTGCCTGTGAGCTCTGAAAGGGACTGCGTTTTGCTCACCACACCACCAGGGTCTGGTATAGCACCTGGGCTCAGACCAAGCTCTTAATAAATGCTTGCTGATGAAGAATGAACTAACCATTAGACTTGCACATATATGTTCAACTGAGCAATTACATGTTGAAAGGACACACACACACCAAAATAAGTGAGGTTATAAAATTACCATGCTTTTTATCTTCTGAAGAACTCTCATGCCAGTTTCGGAGCCAGCGTAGCAGTTTGTTGGCACAGCTCTGGTCTCCTTGTTGTCCAATAATGGTCTTGAGCGAGGTTGGCTTATATTTATCCACCCAGAGCAAATTTTCCACTCTGTTTTCACTGCGGCCATCAGCCAAATTCCTGGCCTTGCTGTCACCATTTACCTCCTCAGCCAACTGATCCTTAAAGTCTATGCCTCTCCTAAATACACTTGTTTCCTTGTGTATTGACTTTATGGAACTGTCCCTTTTAGGCGTCAGCTTGCTCTTTTTAGATTCTGATTCCTTTTTAGCTGGACTAATTTTTCTTTTTCCTTGGTCATTTTTTTGAGGTGTTTTCTCCAACTTGGACTTTTCTTTCTTCATCTTAAAAAGTGGTAAAATGAGGGAAAAAGAAACCTGATGAGACATACAGAATTTCTATCCTGCTACCCATACTACAGAGAGCAGCCTGAGATAGCCAAGCGAGCCACTAAACCTGGGTCAGCCTTTTTACAATGGATCCTGCTGTTTACGGAAATCATCTCCTTTAAAACTCTAAAAATTAACCACACACACCAAAAAGCACCCAAATGCAATTTTTAAGTGAGAGTATATTGGTTTTCTTAAAGTAATAAGTATTCCAATTTTACTTTTAAAAAATGGAGGAAATAGGCCGGGCGCAGCAGCTTACGCCTGTAATCCTAGCACTCTGGGAGGCCAAGGCGGAAGGATCGCTCAAGGTCAGGAGTTTGAAACCAGCCTGAGCAAGAGTGAGACCCCGTCTCTACTAAAAATAGAAAGAAATTAACTGGCCAACTAAAAATATATATAGAAAAAATTAGCCGGGCATGGTGGCACATGCCTGTGACCCCAGCTACTCAGGAGGCTAAGACAGGAGGATCATCTGAGCTCACAGAAGTTTGAGGTTGCTGTGAGCTAGGCAAACGCCACGACACTCTAGCCCGGACGACAAAATTAGACTCTGTCTCAAAAAAAGAAAAAATGGAGGGAATGGTTACGAGATTTTTATTTCAAAGCTTCCTGGTTAATTAAAAGTTAATGCCTTGGCTGGGTGTGGTGGTTCACATCTGTAATCCTAGCACTCTGGGAGGCCAAGACGGGAGTATTGCTCAAGGTCAGGAGTTCAAGACCAGCCTGAGAAAGAACGAGACCCCATTTCTACTAAAAATAGAAAGAAATTAGCTAAACAACTAAAAATATATATAGAAAAAATTAGCTGGGCTTGGTGGTGCATGCCTGTAGTCCCAGCTATCCAGGAGGCTGAGGCAGCAGGAATGCTTGAGCCCAGGAGTTTGAGGTTGCTATGAGCTAGGCTGATGCCACAGCACCCTAGCCTGGGCAAGAGAGTAAGACTCTGTCTCAAAAAAAACAAAAAGAATTAATGCTTCCACAAAAACTTGTATACATAGGTTCACAGCAGTTATACTGCTTGAAATATAGATTGAAATAACCAAAATGTCCATCACCTGAAGAATGGCTAAACAAAATGGGGTATAGCTAGACAATAGAATATTATTCACCCATAACAAAGACTGAGGTACTGATACATGCTACAACATAGGTGAACCTTGAAACCATTATGCTAAGTCAAAGAAACCAGACACAAAAGGATGCCAAAAAATGTCCCAAATAGGCAAATCCATAGAGACATAAGTAAATGCAGGGGGTGGGTATGATGATGAGTGACTGCTAATGGGTATAGAGTTTCTTTTGGGGGTGATGAAAACGTTCTGGCATTAGATAGTGGTGATGAATTCATTCTTGTTAATACACTAAAAACCACTGACTTATACACTTTAAAAGGGTAAATTTGATGGTATATAAATATCTAAATTTTTTAAGAAGATAGTGCCTCTTTACCATTGGATGCTAAAATTAGTGGATGAATGTTTGAGGAGAAACAGGGTATTAAAATAGTCTTAACGTATCTCCCCAAGATAGTTACCAACTGCAAAAGGAAAACAGTCACATTACCAGTAGAAACCCAGTAGACATCATCTTAACCAAATAATCTAGGTTATCATCACCAATAATAAAACATATTGACATCATGTACAATTTATATGATGCACTGAGAAGGATAGACTGTCACTTCTGTGGTGTTCTTGCCAAAAATGTATAACCTCAATCTAATCATCAAAGACCATCACAGAACCAAATAGAGACATTCTACAAAACTGATTGGTACTCATGAAGAATATCAAGGTCATAGAAGACAAGGAAAGACTGAACAACTGACATGGATTGGAACAGACAAAGAAGACACAACAACTAAATGCAGTGTGGGATCCTAGAACAGAAAAAGACAACAGGAAAATGTGAAATTCAAATAGTATGTGTCGTTTGGTTAATCATATGGTGGTGTTGTTAATTTCCTGGTTTTTATAACTATGCTACGGTATGTAATCCAAATGAATCCCTAAGATTTCTCTAACCGGAATAAACTGAGTGGGCCATACTGCCAACTGTGTGACAGAGCTGGGAACACTAATTTGGGATGTTGGCACTCCTGTGCCCTGCATGTAAAAAACGCTGTTACAGAGTAAAAGGAGGCTAACAGTAGGAGAAACAGAAAGACAGAAACCGAAAGGGTCCACAAAGTACTGTAGTCTCTGGATCCAGCAGTTCTCAGATCAGATCCACCTTGCCCATAGTTTAGTTACATGAGCCTACATTTTTCCCTTTTTGCTAAAGCTAATGTAGGACAAGTTTCTGTCACAACTGAAAAAATCCTGCTATAGTCCTAATTGAAATGAATTTATCATGCTGATACCTGTTAACATATCCTTCAAGGAACTCTTAAACAGTAACTTTTACATGAAGTCAACATAAGAATACAGAAAATAGGCCGGGCTTGGTAGCTCATGCCTATGATCCCAGTACTTTGGGAGGCCAAGGCGGGAGAACTGATTGAGGCCAGGAGTTAAAAGACCAGCCTGAGTAACATAAGGAGACACCGTCTCTACAGAAAAACAGAAAATTAGCTGGGTATGGTGGCATGCCCCTGTAGTCCCAGCTACTTGGAAAGCTGAAGCGGGAGGATCACTTGAGCCCAGAAGTTTGGGGTTGCTGTGAGCTACTATAATTACGCCACTGCACTCTAGACTGGGCAACTGAATTGAGACCCTATCTCAAGGGGGGAAAAAAAGATATGGAGAATAAGGAAAGTTTAATAAGTAAATATGTTATATGTAATACACTGTCCTCTTTCTTTATATTCCTTTGCAAAATGTAAGGAAATACACCAAAGACATCCTGAAGCAGAGTCCTTCAGCTGAAAGGGAAATAAGGTAGTTTGTGGTAAAAAGGGAGGTTAATCTTTCAGCCAACTGGCCTATATCCACCCAAGATAAGTCTCTATGAAATAGAAAAGTTGCTCTACACCAATTTAAATAAATCAAGTTCTTCTTCTTCTTCTTTTTTTTTTTAACAGACAGGGTTTTTGCTCTGTCACCCAGGCTGGAGTACAGTGGTACAATCATAGCTCACTGCAACCTCAAACTCCTGGGCTCAAGCCTCCCAAGTAACTAGTACTATAGGTGCATGCCACCATACCCAGCTAATTTTTGTTTTGTTTTGTCAATCGCCTATTTATCTTTTTTTCATTTTAGTGTATTATGGGGGTACAAGTGTTAAGGTTACATATATTGCCCATGCCCCTCTCCCCCCTTGAGTAAGAGCTTCAAGCGTGTCCATCCCCCAAACATTGCACATCTTACTTGTTGTGGTTGTATACACCCATCCCTTCCTCCCCCCCTCCCAACACTCAATAAATGTTACTCCTATATGTCCACTTAGGTGTTGATCCATTAATACCAATTTGCTGGTGAGTACATGGTGCTTGTTTTTCCATTCTTGAGATACTTCACTTAGTAGAATGGGTTCCAGCTGTATCCAGGAATATACAAGAGGTGCTATATCACCATTGTTTCTTAAAGCTGAGTAGTATTCCATGGTATACATATACCACATTTTATTAATCCACTCATGAATTGATGGGCACCTGGGTTGTTTCCACAGTAATTATTAAAAATTTTTATAGAGATGGGGTCTGGCTTGTTGCCCAGGCTGGTCTTGAACTCTTGGCCTCGAGCAATCCTCCTCCCTTGGCTTCCCAAAGTGCTAGGATTATAGATATGAGCCACCATTTCTGGACTAAATCAAGTGCATTTTATACAAACCTCAGCTTCAACTGCTATTTCATACTTGGACTTCTTGCCTGGCATAGTTCGAATCAGATTCAATAGGCCATCTTCATCGATAATTTTTGTCCCCAATGCTGCTGCCTGTTGATTAAAAATGCAAATCATCAAAACTGCATTCTAACAATTCCTTTCTATTAAAAAAATGATTCTAGGGCCTATTAGTATAGTAGGTTAAAAAAAAACCCACATTTTAAATAAGATAGCACTGAAATAAAAAAAATAAAAAAACCCAAACATTCATTGAAAAGCACCATTCAAAAGAAGAAAATAAAAGATACACTCCCTAAGAGCAGTGAAGTGTCACATTACTATTTTTGTGGATTGCTATACCTTTCCTCCGCTAGAAATGGGCAAAGCCACTAGGCCTTAAGTATAGCTCTTCACACCCTCTCCCATGTTTGCCTCATATAGCAGACATTTCCCACACCTTCTTCCCTTCTAACAGAACTCCAATGTGTCCATCTAAAAGTGATGGGTTGTGACTGGTCGAAGGCAATCAGAAAGTCCTGATCCTCCCTCAACCTCCCTTGCAGCTCTGAATGGCCATGTGACAGCTCTGGCCAATGAAACTTCAGTAGAATTCTACAAGAGGTGTTTCTAGGAGAACTCTAGTCAGGTCAGTCACAGCTATTATGACATCTTGCCCCTGTATCCTATTTTCTGCCTTGAATGAGGACTTAAATGCCTAGAGTGGCAGCTACCTTGTAGCCAAAGGCAACATGCAAAAGGACAAAAGCTAACACAATAAGGATAACAGAGGTAAAGGATGGAGAGCTAGCCGAGGTCCATTATTGAGCTGATGAACCATCCCCAGCAACTGCCTATCTCTGGAATTCTTATTAGATGAAGAAAATAAGCAGGTATTTATTTAAATCACTCTTAGCCAGGTATTCTGTTACTTGGAACTAAACATAATCCTAACCAACAGATGTCTGACTCTTAAGAGCTTCCAACAAAAAAACTTAAGTATACAGTGGCATATATAGGAATACTTAGGACTAGAAAAATAGATAACTCCATTTATTTCTGTCTTCAAAAAAAAAGAAAAAGATTTAAACTAGAAAACACTAAGAAAAGTCAAGCAAACTGGAACTGTGCTTTCAACTGGAAGACCAAAATCCTGGGGCTGAAGCCAATACCAATTCTGTGGGGAAGAAACTGCTTTTCCATTTTTTTCTTAACTCTGTGTAAAGGGCAATGCTACAGTCACATCAGGAGCATGCCAAGGCAAGCAGGCTGTCACTGTGTTGAGAACACAGCAGTACCTACCTTATCACTCTTAGACTGTCCACTATCACGGCCCATAACAAGGTAGTTTGTTTTCTTGCTGACATTTCCTGTTACTTTTCCCCCATAACGTTCAATTAGAGACTTGGCTTCATCTCGCTCAATGGACTCCAGCACTCCTGTGATTACAAATATGAGGCCTTCCAGGCAATTTTCAGCTCCCTAAAAACCAAAATGTTCAAGCAGAGAGGAAATTACATGGTAGGTTTCCAAAGAAATATTTGGCATCAAAATTGCAGAAAGCTGATTTTTCTCATTTGACATCATGAATAACCTCAGCAAGGAAAGTTTGCTAGAAAGTTATAGCAAATAAGCAGAAACTGAGATTAAATCCCAAGAAATTCTTATGTTGCTAACATTTAATAAACTTACAAAATAAGCAATGAAAAGCATATAGCCAATTTGTTAGCAAAGCTCATTAAAATTACCCATTCATACTATTTTCCATTATGATTTTTATATTTAAACTACTACTTAACTTGCATAACTTTACGTAAACAACCAAAGGCACCTACGGAAACTTTTGCCATTAAAGTTTTGATTCTGAGAGGCTTAGCAAGTTTGAGCTCTTGTCCTCCTCTCTGCTGATTATTCTCTGATAGTAAATCTAACAACCTGCTAGTTAATAACTTAAAGGCAAGATATTATCCCCCATTAGAAATACAACTCTGATAACATAAGAGACACTGGCCAAAAAGAAGTGAATGGAGCAGACGTTCAACCTTAATTAGCATTATACACAGACTTTTTTGTCTTTGCAATGGTTTGATAAAATTATACAACCAAGCAAAATTAAAATAAAAATGATATATGATATCCCAAGTTACTTATTACTCTTTGAATCAAGAACTGAAATCAATACAGACTTAAAACAGGCTTGAAAAGCAGCAGCTAAATAAAATTCAAAGATTGACCCAACACAAGTTCAATCCCTCACCATCCAGGTGAAGAATCTTTCCTAGAAGACAAAAAGAAATAACTGAATCTGCTTGAAAAGCAAACGTTTGACCAACATCATCTCAAGGTCACTTCAGGCTCTGCAGTTTGAAATGACCTACTGGAACATTACAGGCACTTAAATTCTTCTCAACAAATTAAAAGGAACCCTGGAAAACTACACACTTAAACCCCCACATCTCATACCCCAATCATCTACTATCTCCCAAATTATCACCCACCTTGACTCTGAATATCTTTTCACTTCCCTATCTCAGCACTTCTAGCCTCCCTACCAACTCTGCATTCTACTAATAGAACTTCTCCACAGCACTTACTTCAGGAGCAGCGAACTACCCAACACTCTCATTCTCTTCTCAGCATTCCCACCACAGCCTTGCCTTCACTAAAACGAGGCTGTCCCCTAAGGATACCACTTTGCCTGAAGTCCTCTCAAGTAGAGCTTGTTCAGTCTTTCACACACATGCACAAGAAGCAAAGGTGACATCCTCCTCTCGCCTCCTGTGAGACAACCCATTCGCCCCTGCAGTTCATCACTTCCCCACATCCGCCATCCCATCCCAGCTCCACCATCCTCTACCTGTCTTTATTAGGGGAACTACTAATCTCTCCATGCAGCTACGCATACAAAGCAAACTGAAAATAAAATTAATTTATACATTGTATATGCATCCCTCCCCTCCCACCTTCTCAGAAATTTCATACTACATTTAATTATTCTTCTCTTTCTGGTACATCTTCAATCTCTTGCTTTCTAGTAGGATCTATCCCATCAGCAAAAAGCATACTTTAACTATCTTCTACCACTAAAGTACTCACATTTTGCCCCCAAATCCCACCTTCCATCTCTATAGCTAGAGGCCCTCTCTTTTGTCCCCTTCACACCCAAACTCATCAAAAATATTACCTACTCCTGCTGTCTCCATTTTGTCTGTTCACACTCACTCTTCGACCCACTTCCATCAGGCTCTGCCTCCATCACTCTATTTAAATTGTTCTTGCTAAGGCCACTAAGGAGCATTATTCATGTTACTAAATGCAATGGAGGCTGGGGGCACAGCAGCTCACGCCTGTAATCCCAGGGCTTTGGGAAGCCAAGGTGGGAGATCACTTGAGGCCAGGAATTCGAAACTAGCCTGGACAACATAGCAAGACCCAGTCTCTTAAAAAAAAAGAGCTGAGTATGGTAGTGCACACCTGTACTCCTAGCTACTCAGGAGGCTGGGGAAGAAAGATCACTTGAGCTGAAGAGTTCAAGACTACAGTGAGCTCTGATCATGTCACTGCACCCAGCCTAGGGCAACAGAGCAGGACTCTGGCTCAAAAAAAATAATTGGATTATATTTAAATTAAAAACAAATACAACAGGCAGTTTTCTGTCTCCCCTTACCTGGAATCTTAATAGCATGACAGACCTAACCAATCATTTAAAAAATATTCTCCCTCCCCTTTGCTTCTGTGGTAACAACTTTATCAGACTTCTCTCCCACATTGTGGCTGCTGCTTATCAGTCTTCTTTTTGGTTTTCATCCACCCCCCTTCAGAGAAGCAGGGGCCAACACACTCTTCTCTTCTCATTCCAGCATACTGGTTTGCTAAATGCTATTAATCCCTTCAAATATCATCTACATCCCAATAATGCCCAAACTTTCACATCCAGTCTTGACCTCTGTTCTGGGCTCCAAGCCCACGTGTCTACTTGTCCACTCAGCGTCTCCACATGGACATCTTGCTTACACAAAAATACATACAGAAGCACAGTATGGCCAACATCAAACTCATCGCCCCACTCTGCCACCAATGGCATCAGCCTGGTTGGTTCATGCCAACAACCGGGAGGTTATCACTGATTCTCTTTCTCACTTCCCACTTTCAGTCATCACAAAGCCCTACAAAATATTACCTCTTCCACTGAAACCACTTCACTTTTCAGCACTTTCACTGCTCCTCCAGTCAAGTCCCTGTCACTGATCTCTGTCTATATATCTATTCCTCCCCGCATCCACTTCACCTACACTCAGCGGCCAGGGAGATCTTTCACAAATGCAAATCTGGTCATGTTATTCCCTCACTTAAAATTCATTCTCTTAGACAAAGTCCTAAACATTATGCCCTGTAAGATGTGGCCCCATGAACCTCTTCAGCCACTCTCATCCCTTGGTCACTATGCTCCAACCACATTGCTTTTCTTTTCGTTGCTCAAACATACCATGCAAAATCCTTTCCCATTCAGGGACACCACACATTCTGGTCCCTCTACCCAGATCATCACACCAGCACAACACCTACCCTGCACGCCAGGTGAATTCCTTTCATTCTTCAAGTCTCCATTTAAATATCGCTTATTCTACACGTCACATCCAGGGTCGGTTTCGTCTGTTATATTCTCTAAAGGCATCCTAGATTTTTCCTTCATGGCACATATCACAATTATAATTAAATAATAATCTATTTAATGTCTCTTTTCTTAGACTGTAAGTCCCATGCAAGCAAAAAGCATTAGCCTTGTCACTGGTGTATTCTCCAAGCCTAGCCCATCTAGGGCTACTTGTTATTTAAAGGAAAATTTCCCTGAGTATGAAACAGGAATTCATAATGTGAATGAACATCCCTAATCCATGAAAATGGTAATAGGTTTTTTCTGTTTATTTTTCTTCCAGTTGAAACTCTCATAATGTTTTGTTTTTTTTGTTGTTTTTTTTTTGAGACAGAGTCTCGCTTGTTGCCCAGGCTAGAGTGAGTGCCGTGGCATCAGCCTACTCACAGCAACCTCAACTCCTGGGCTCAAGCATCTGCTCCTCAGCCTCCCGAGTAGCTGGACTACAGGCATGCGCCACCATGCCCGGCTAATTTTATATATATGTATGTGGCCAATTAATTCTTTCTATATATAGTAGGAGACGGGGTCTCGCTCTTGCTCAGGCTGGTTTCGAACTCCTGACCTTGAGCAATCCGCCCGCCTCAGCCTCCCAAAGTGCTAGGATTACAGGCGTGAGCCACCGCGCCCGGCTTTCTCATAATGTTATTAATTTTTAATTATTAATTATCTGCTGCTGTAAGCACAGTGAACACACACATGGACCTGCACAAGGCAGAGGCGCTTACAGAACAGCATGCCCTCTCAGCATTCTTACCTTTGGTATTTCTTTGGAGCCCAGAGCTTTGGGACCTTCTCGATTTAAGTAGCTTCGATAAGCTTGATAATTACTGCGTTTCTTTTCAGAATCTTCAGGACTTACAGACTTTGGGGAGAAAGAAAGAAAATTGAACAAAGTCATGCAAAATTCATGTAAAATTAAAAATACATATCTATAAATAAACATTAAGTCACTTCTGTATTTGGTTCTAAAATTAACAGTTTTAGCTATACAGGTACTCCTCAACTTCCAGAGGCCTGATTTACAAACATCCCTGCATCAGTCCTTCTCAAAACTCTCTATTCTCTCTAAAGGCATATACCTTAGGGCAGATTAGGGGTATAAGCCAAGATGCCAGCTCCAAGCAAAGAAATGGAAAGAGAGATTCATGTAAATTTTAAATTCTACTCCATGATATATCCAAATTTATTTTAACAGAAAAATAAATTTTCCCCTAAGTAAATTTGATCACCCAAAAACATATCCTGCCGGGCGCTGTGGCTCACGCCTGTAATCCTAGCTCTTGGGAGGCCGAGGCGGGCGGATTGCTCAAGTCAGGAGTTCGAAACCAGCCTGAGCAGAAGCGAGACCCCGTCTCTACTATAATAGAAAGAAATTAATTGGCAACTGATATATATATAAAAATACCGGCATGGGGCGCATGCCTGGTAGTCCCAGCTACCCGGGAGGCTGAGGCAGAAGGATCACTCGAGCCCAGAGATTTGAGGTTCTGTGAGTAGCTGACGCCACGGCACTCTACTCTAGCCTGGGCAACAAAGCGAGACTCTGTCTCAAAAAAAAAAAACATATCCTATGTTAATCCTATGGCCTTGCATACCCCTAATATCATGAGGGATATAAGCACTCCAGTAGGAGAATCAAAGGCTTCATGTAAATAGCAAACTCAGAGAAGGAGCTCCAAAGAGCAGGCACAGTCTATATGCTACCACTCTTCCTTCTATGTTTAATCTCTCCCATTCGGTTTCTCCCAAGGAATTTTACCATGTGTATATGTCAGAAAACCATAGGAAAATTTTTAAACTATCTAAATTTCTGATTCAGAGATATGGGATATGGCCAGAACAGGTATATTTAAGTGAAAAAACATTCTAGATAATTCTGATTTAAGAATAACTACAAGATGGTCTCTTTAATTTTTCTACTTCCTGTTTTACATTATTTTTAACTTGTAAGCAACCATAAATCCCTTCAAGAATAGGCAAAATACTTCTCTATAAAATAATTTAACCACTAGAATAATTAAGCTGGTTTGGTTATGAGTTAAATAAGCCATTATGGACTGGTCCTAGAATCCATACCTACTTTGAACAATGGTTCTCAAACATTGGTGTGCCTTATAATATCATGAGGAGCTGATTAAAATACAGCTGCCCACACCACGTGTCCTGGGAAATCATAATTTTAACAGGCTTCACCAGAGAGTTTAATTGCATATACCAACATGGGGGAAATGATTCATTTATAACATTAATTCTATGAAAAAAAATCTGAATTATAAACTTATAAAATAACTTTGAAGCACACCCATTTATGAAGTCTGAATTATTTGACTGAGACCAAATGAATTATTAATAAATTGACTTTGATGTTCCCAAAACTGCCTACATAAAAGTTCTAAGTTATTTCTATTCCAATTTTTAAAAATATACTGAAGAGTAATAGTATCATTAAAAATTTCCTCTTTTTTCATAAATATAGCCTCTGTAAACTGAACATGTTTAGTGTGCCTGAAGAAAAACATTCATCTACCAGATAAGCATTTAGTGAAGAAAAATATGAGACCAAAAAGTTAACTGTTCCTTTAAGCGTATTTATGAGCGCTGCCCACAAACAAAAGCATTTTGAAATCATCACCATTTGATTGTTCTGCACTAAAAAATAATGGTGATGAGCAGTTAAAATAGACGATATTCTACTTTTAATTCTAAGTGCCTAAGAGGCATAAAGGAATAGTGGTTTCTCATTATGAATCTCAAGTGATTCCACACTGGAGATTCAGAGAGGCCATTGGTTTTTCAAATGTATTTGAAAAAAAGAAAACTTTTGAAAAGCATTAATTATTTCACCATTTTTTCCTGTGAAAATTATTTCAGTATGTCAACATTGTTACACAAGAACAAAAAGGTATAAATTCAGAACAAATCCAAATAACAGCAATTTTAATAATAATAGCTAAAACTTATATAGTACTTATTAGGTCTCAGGCACTGTTCTAAGTGGTTTTACATATTAACTCACTGGCACTATTATTATCCCTATTTTACAAATGAGGAAACCAAAGCACAGAGAGAGGAAATAATCAGACCAAGATCACACACTTCCTCAGTGGCAGGGCTATGATCTGAAAGTTGCTCCAGAGTCAGTGCTTGGAGTGACAATGTTATATACTACTACTAATATATTTGTCTTCAGACGACCTGAGATCAAGGCTGGCCCTACCACTCACTGCCTGGGTAATCTTGGAATAGTTAAATTCTTTATCATCTTTAAAAGTTGAATAACAAAAGTAAATATCTCACAGGGTTGTTGTAAAGATTATATGATACCATATGTAAAGTATTAGCATAATATCTGATACACAGTTATAATAAATATTGGCTAATTTAGCTATATTAGTAATCTACATTCTGTAACAGCTTCTAAATTTAAAATGTTATCTTAAAAGTACTCTAGGCCGGGCGCGGTGGCTCACGCCTGTAATCCTAGCTCTCTGGGAGGCCGAGGCGGGTGGATTGCTCGAGGTTGGGAGTTCGAAACCAGCCTGAGCAAGAGCGAGACCCCGTCTCTACTATAAATAGAAAGAAATTAATTGGCCAACTAATATATATAGAAAAAATTAGCCGGGCATGGTGGCTCATGCCTGTAGTCCCAGCTACTTGGGAGGCTGAGGCAGAAGGATCGCTTGAGCCCAGGAGTTTGAGGTTGCTGTGAGCTAGGCTGACGCCATGGCACTCACTCTAGCCTAGGCAACAAAGCGAGACTCTGTCTCAAAAAAAAAAAAAAAAAAAAAAGTACTCTAATAACTTATGGAGTTGGAACTAAAACTTGAAAACAAACTCAGATCAACAAACAGCCCCAAAATATATACAGTAGTCCCCCCTTATCCACAGAGGATACATTCCAAGACCCCAGTAGATGCCTAAAACCACAGATGGTACTGAATTAACTCTATGTATACTTATACATACTATGTTTTTTCTATCTGATAACTGAGCCAGCTATTAAGCGACTTAACAGGTAGCATATACAACGTGGATACGCTGGACAAAGAAATGATTCACATCCTGGGCAGTCAGAGATTTCATGATGTTTCTCAGAATGGTACGCAATTTACACCTTATTATTTCTGGAATTTCCAATTAATATTTTCAGACCATGATTGACCACCAGTAACTGAAACCTTGGAAGGCAAAACCACAGATAAAGGGGGGGAAATGGGCATTTATTGAAACCTTAAAATCTGTACCCCCATAATATGCCAAAATAAAAAAAAATTAAAAAAAAAAAAAACACAGATAAAGAGGGACTATCTTAGAAAGCTCCTACCTCTTTTTTAGCTGGAGAACTTTTGTTCTTCTTCGGAGTTTTTGTCTCTCCTTTCATTTCAAAGGCATTTTCTTTTCTTTTTGAGGTTGCAGGCTCTGTATCTTTATAAGAGCTCTCTTTTCTTTTCATAAATGCGAGATTAGAACTGGCTTTTGGAGAAGAGGATTCTCCTATTTTGTGAGCTGATGGTTTGGAATATTGCTGAGATTCTTTTAAACTTTCACATTTAGTTTGCTTCTTAGGACTGTAGCTTTTTCCATCATCTGAAAATCGTTCTGTTCTTACTAGGAAGAAAGAGAAGATCATGATTGCTGTTTTTGGAAAATGACGCCCTATATATCAACATTTTTTTTTTCATTTTTCAACTGGTCCCAGTAACACAGAATATCATATGGCAATTTCAAAAATCAATATCTTAATTCTTCAACTTATACAGTACATTTATTTTTTAAAATTAAACACCTCTATACTACTTATATTGGTATAAGCAGTTCAAATTAAGAGATCTTTTTAAATACACTGTAAACTATATCTATAGATATAGACTTCATTCCAGAGATATGCTCTGAAATTTACACAGAGAGAAGTTACCGACTAGACGTCACATGAAAATTCTGTTTGAAATATGTAGCCTAAAGACCCAATATCCTAAGGTATCAAGACCATCTGTTAATAGTAAACTTATAAAAAGATTTACTCACAGGGTTAAAACCATCTATATTAGCAAGTGGTTTGATATCAGGACCACTAAAGAAAAAACCTACAGGCCGGGCGCAGTGGCTCACACCTGTAATCCTGCTCTCTGGGAGGCCGAGGCGGGCAGATTGCTCGAGGTCAGGAGTTCAAAACCAGCCTGAACAAGAGCGAGACCCGTCTCTACTATAAATAGAAAGAAATTCATTGGCCAACTGATATATATATAAAAATTAACCAGGCATGGTGGCACATGCCTGTAGTCCCAGCTACTCGGGAGGCTGAGGCAGTAGGATCGCTTGAGCCCAGGAGTTTGAGGTTGCTGTGAGCTAGGCTGACGTCACGGCACTCACTCTAGCCTGGGCAACAAAGTGAGACTGTCTCAAAAAATAAAAATAAAAATAAAATAAAATAAAAAATAAAGAATAAACCTACAGATAATCAGAAGAGTTCCAGATGATCTGGCCAACTATGAGTCAACTCTATGAAAACTATCCATAACATGAAAAGTTCAAAACATCTAGTTCTTTGTTTTCACATGTTGAAGTCTACACAATGCACTAGACTTGGAAATTAACAAGAAGCCAAGAGCTGTTAGTACATTTCTCACAACAATCTTAGAGCACATGGGCATTCCGCATTAGCTAGTATCCAAACAGTTCTCAAAATACATAAGTAGAAGATGCTCTAATAGTCCTATGAAATAATGTTACCTAACAACACAATTATTAAACAGAATGTTTAAACAAGGTTCTTATGAATTTTACTTTGTAAAGACAAGTGTTCCATCTTACTTTTTTCTGCTAGTATTACCTTTATGAGGAAATTTATCTTTTTCTGCTTTACTTAAATTGCCTTGGACAGATGAAAACGTTTGTCCCTCTTCTGTGTCCTTTCGAGCCTAAACAAATTTTAAAAATATCAAATGTGACAAATAAAAGAAAAATTATTTCCACAAAATCTGTTGTTAAAAATCAATTAAAGTTTTAATTTTAAGTCGAAGGATCACCTTCCAAACTAACAGGACACTACAATAAACTGTCATTCATTCATCCACAGAATTTCCCCGGCAAATGAAGCATGTTTTATTACTTCATTTTACAGGTGAAGAAACAAATGAAAGAAAATAAAAACATATCTATAAAAAATTATCCCAGTTCATCCCAAACTGTGAATCTGGAAGTAGAAGCCTTATTTCTGCTTGCTTCATCTCAACTTTCAAATTGTTAGTATTATACAGTTAAAAACCACAATCTAAATTAAAACAACTAAAATGAAAACAAACTAAAGCTCAAAAGGAAAATAAGAGAGCACTTTTTTCAACAGAGAAAAAAAATATCCATTCTCTACACTGTTCCCTCAAAATTCCACTAGCTAAAAAGATCACAAATTGGGGTATGTATATTTTTCAAATAATTTGAGTTTCTTTAAAAAGAGTGAGTGCTTTCAAATGACAAAGTCCCCTCCTCTCTCTACTGTCTTATACCTGCCTGCTTAGTCTTGGCTCCTGACAGTATCTAAGTTTACAACTCCTTGCTTTAAAGGAAAGTAAAATCTTCTAAAATATTCAGATATTGCTGGGCATGGTAGCTCACACCTATAATCCCAGAACTTTGGGAGACTGAGGTGAGAGAATCACTTGAGGCTAGAAGTTCAAGACTAGCCTGGGCAACACAGCAAGACCCTCATCTCCACCAAAAAAAAAAATTTACCAGGGTGTGGTGGCATGAGCCTGTAATCCTAGCTAATTGGGAAGCTGAGGCAGGCGGACTGCTTGAGCCCAGGAGTTCCAGGTTACAATGAGTTATGCTTGAGCCACTGCACTTGAGAGCAAGACCCTGTCTCTAAAAAATAAAATAGTCAGATATTTACACTGACAATTATATTAACAGAATGTTAGACTTATTAGATTTATTAGAAATAATGCTAACTTATTAGAGATTGAGTGTTCAAGAAAAATTCATGGGCCGGGTGCGGTGGCTCACGCTTGTAATCCTAGCTCTCTGGAAGGCCCAGGTGGGTGGATCGTTTGAGCTCAGGTGTTCGAGACCAGCCTGAGCAAAAGCGAGACCCAGTCTCTACTAAAAATAATAATAAAAAAAAGTTAATTGACTAACTGAAAATAGAAAAAAAAAATTAAAAAAAAAAACAACAAAAATAATTCATGGCACTTTTACAGATTCCCCAAAATACAATCATTATTACTTGAGACTGTCCTGATATAATATAGCTCTTAAAGTTAGCTAATTAGAAATAGCAACACTGTGCTTCCTGAAAAGATAGTAATCAATATTAATGTTATTAAACTTGTGTTCCAGAGGAATTTTTATAAGCATTAGTGTCTGAACAGGAACATAAGAATCCCTGTGATAAAGAGTGAGGAAAATGTATAATTCAGTGTTTTGTAAAGAAAGGTTCTGGTTTGCTTTGGCTCTATCAACTTTGTTTTACAAAGAATAAGTTTCTCAATGAGCTTTCCCAAAATCTTTTTATTAAAACAACTTAGCTTTTTTCTGGAAGAGTTATTCATAAGAGCCTAGAACACACAAGTATGGAACGGAACACTGATCTATATTATATACTCAGGGTGCAAGAAGCCCAATACAACGCCACCTTTTTAGTCTTGGGTTCTTCATCTAACATGGCTAATGTTCTGGCAAACTCTTCATCTTCATGTAGTTGCCTCTCCAGCTGTAAAAAGTGTCAAATAGTGAGCTGTTTTTGTTCTTTTTGAAAATGAAAGTTCCTAAATGTTTGATTTGTATATTTAGGAAAAAAGTGAAAAAAATATTTTCCAGACAATAACTATGACATTTTCCACTTAATAGTCAAGTATCACATCACAGGTCTGTTTCACTAAGCCAAATCAGATTTCAAAACATACAGTTCTAGTTCTGCAGGCATGATAGATAAATTGAACATGTTTTAAAAGTCACATATCCTACTTATAAAATTTCAAGTCTATAGTTTTCTCTTAGTGGTCCTAATGCAACACTTACAGATCTCTTATATCTATTTATTTTAAATTCTAGAAAGACCTTTGAAAGGAATCTCAACAGAAAAACATAACCATCTGTCTGAAGAACACAAAAAGTGAATCTAAGAAATTAAGAAAATTATGTAGTATTTTCTTTACATACAATAATAAGCTACATACAAATGTAAAGTCACTTTTTACCATCAAGCTCCTATTTTTGAGCACTAATTCAAATGCATCTGTTCTGACTTTTGAAAATTTAAGTTATCATATCAGAAATTTTCCAAATAGGCTAATGTAACACAGACCAGTGGTTATTTATAAATAACCAGTAGTTATTTCACTGTTATTTCCAAATATTTTCCCTTTCAGTAAAATGGAGCTCTTCCAGAAGAGAACATGTAGCAGTAGAATATATTCCTCATTATAAACTAACTGGTTTTTTGCCCCCTGGTAAAATGGCCTAATGTGATATGGAACAAACATCACCCTACATTATTCAAATAAAAGAAAGGACCTCAAAATCCAGTTTGTTAAAAGTGGAGAGAAGGCTGGGCACGGTGGCTCACACCCATAATCCTAGCACTCTGGGAGGCTGAGGCAGGAGAATGGTTTGACTTCAGGAATTCAAGACCAGCCTGAACAAGAGCGAGACCCTGTCTCTACTAAAAATAGAAAGAAATTAGCTGGACAACTAAAAATATATATAGAAAAAAATTAGCCAAGCATGATGGCACATGCCTGTAGTCCTAGCTACTCAGGAGGCTAAGGCAGTAGGATTGCTTGAGCCCAGGAGTTTGAGGTTGCTATGAGCTAGGCTAACACCACGGCACTCTAGCCCAGGCCACAGAGTGAGACTCTGTCCCCCCCAAAAAAAAGTGAAGACAAAAATACTCTTCGAGGGATAATTAGGAAATACATCTTCAGTCATTAACTCCTAAAAGTCCTTCATCAGATTAATAAATTACCCAAACAAGATTCTGAAAGAATGTGATAAAAATAGGAAAACAGGTGATTTTGTGATTTCCAAACCACATCCAGTTTGGAAAGGACTGAGTAATTCTCCAATATTTGGGACAGATAAGGAGAGAAGTCAGGTCTCTACAAATTACTTCCTAGTTTGACCTAGGCCTTTTGCACTACCTTGAGTCATATAGATACGTGTTTGTATTTTACATAATTGTGACAAATATAAGACAGAAAACAGCCAGGCCATAGTGGCTCAAGCCTGTAACCCTAGCACTTTGAGAGGCTGAGACAGGAAGATAGCTAGAGGTCAGGAGTTCAAGACTAGCCTGAGCAAGAGCGAGACCCCCGTCTCTACTACAAATAGAAAAATTAGCTGAGTATTGTGGCACACACCTGTAGTCCCAGCTACTTGGGAGGCTGAAACAGGAAGATTACTTGAGCCTAAGAGTTTGGGCTTTGCAATGAGCTAAGATGGTGCCACTGCAACAGAACAAGACTCCATCTCCAGAAAAAAAAAAAAAATCATGACCTACAGGATTTGCTGTTGGCCATTTCTCTGAAATCACCTCATAGCACTCTCCTTCTCAATCACTATTCTCCAGCCATACCAGTCTCCTGAACCCATAAAGCCCACGTCTCCCTTAGGGTGCTTCCACTTGCTAGTCCCTCTGCTTAGAGGAAGTCTTCCCCCATGTAGCCAGCACCATGCCTTACTGTATCACTTCATTTGTGCCCAATGCCACATCCTCAGAGGGACCCTCCTAAGTCCTCTATTTAAAATAAAACACAACTCCACTTACCACCCCAAAACTATACCTTTACTTTTCTTCAGAACACTTACAATTACTTGATATTTTCTTTCTTTTTTTCTAACTGCAATATCTCTAACACCTATGACAGCACTATGCACTCAATAAGTGTTCAATATACACTTGCTGAATGATTACATAGGTTTACAGCTCAAGAAAGAGCTCTGAACTGGAAAAAGATTCAGGGGTCATCAGCTTACACAGAGTAATGAAAGCCACAGTAACGGGTGACATTGCTCACAGTGAAAAGAAAAGAGATATGAGCAAATTAAATAAACTAAAGTAGTCTCCCTTTCAAAGAACTCTAAAAGTAAATCTTAAGGTAAATAATTAACCCCTAGTCTCAATATTTATCTTTTATAGAAATTTAGATGTTTATATACTAGATTTTTTTTTTTTTTTTTTTTGAGACAGAGTCTCACTTTGTTGCCCAGGCTAGAGTGAGTGCCGTGGCGTCAGCCTGGCTCACAGCAACCTCAATCTCCGGGACTCAGCGATCCTACTGCCTCAGCCTCCCGAGTAGCTGGGACTACAGGCATGCGCCACCATGCCCGGCTAATTTTTTTTTTTTTGTATATATATTTTTAGTTGGTCAATTAATTTATTTCTATTTTTGGTAGAGACGGGGTCTCGCTCAGGCTGGTTTCGAACTCCTGACCTTGAGCAATCCACCCGCCTCGGCCTCCCAAAGTGCTAGGATTACAGGCGTGAGCCACCACGCCCGGCCTATATACTAGATTTTAACTTATTTTACACATAACTTCCAATGAACCTCAATTCAAAATTATACTAGAACAATCCCGATCGTTTGCCTGGTTAAACTAAACAGCAAGTGACAATGTCAAGTGATTAATGACATCTAAATGAAATGCTGATACCTCTGCATCTTCATCAAGCTGCAACTGCTTGGCAATGGCTTCATCATTTAGTCCAGAATCACCTGTATTTTGTGGAGGCTATAAAAAAAATCAAGCAAAATCAGCATAAACCTTAAGTTAAAAATAAGGTAAGGTGCTTCTTAATGACTGTAGCTTATTAAATACACCAAAGAGAGATAAGTGTATTAGTAATAGAAGCAATGCACACCAGCCAGAAAGTCAGGTTTATGAGCTGCTTCCTGACCACATCCAATTTCCTAGTGAATAAATATCCCATAGACAGATAGTTCTCATTTAGTTCAACTACTATGCTGAAGAGAAGTACTCCCCACCCCCAAAAAAAAAACAATCCTGTAGATTAATGTCTTGGCTTGACAAGTAGTCCAGAATATCGGCAACCCAATGTGTAAGATTGATTACATTGTCCCATGGAGGCACTGATGAAATCAACAAACACACAATTTGGCGGGCTTTATTTAACTCTGGAGACAACTCTCACTATAATCTATCTGTATGTCCGTTTCCTAAATGGCCAGAAAAGATGAATCCAATATTGTCCAAAGTAGAGAAGTACAGCATAGGCATGCTCTATTTATAAGGGATGTATTCATGATCTCATCTGGGAACAAACTTACTGTCAGGTTGAGGTCAAAAGTAAAATAAGTTCCCTTTCTGAGAATCTGATTTAAATTCTAGGAATTACAATTTTTTCTTATGGTTTAAATATTTTTCCTATGGTTTAAGTAATCTTTTCCCACTTTCAAGTACAAACAATTAAATGTGTAATGTTCTAACTTCCTCATTCTCTAAAATGAGGACAACAGATTTTATCCATAATCACAGGAAAATTTTTATAAAACATGTTGACCCATTTATAATTTATAACATGCTAATTTCTCCTCTTATTAATATCAGTGAATGGATATAAATCCAGAACATTTTTGCTTGCATTCTAGCTCACCTCTTTTCTTTTGCTTGCCACCAACCTCTTATCTGATCTTTGGACACTTCTAGTTCCAAAATAATCAAGCACTGATGTTGGTGTAAGTTTTATTGGTGATAAAGGTTTATTCTTGGTCTTAGTGTTTTCTTCATTCTTTTTCATGTTTGATGCTCCAAGATAACTATTTGTAGATCCTCCATTCTCTTTTGATTTAGAGGCTGTCTTCTTACACATAAAGTCATCTTCTTCATCTTAAATGGAACATAACCAAGTATTTTTCTGATAAAACATCAATTCAACTATGTGAAGAAAACACTCCTACCAGCTTTATAAATAGTACACAAGAGCTTTGAGATGCTCATAATTTTTTTCTAACTCCTGAATTCAACAGTCATCCCCACATTTCCCAGTGCCAGGCCAATACATCATCTCCCCCAGTTACTATCCATAGCACATAAATATTTACTGAGCACCCTTTATGTATCAGGCACTGAAAATATTGCAGTGAATAAAAAATACAAAATCCCTGTTCTCACGGAACTGGAAGTCTAGAAGAAGAAACAGATATACAGATAAACAAATGTATATTATCAAGTTAAATGTGCTATGAAGAACTAAAACAGGGTGAAAGAATTAAAGAGTAATATAAGATGTTCTTTAAGATAGTCAGGGAAAACCTCTTTTATAATCAACATTTGAACAGAGCCCTGAAATGAAGATACATCAGGCAAGAATACTAGAACAATGAAAACTGCAAAGGCAAAAGCCTTAAAGTGAGTGTGCTTGGAATTCAATGTGACCACAGCACAATGAAGGGGGTATGCTGGAAGTGTTCAGGTGAAAGAGGTAAGGGCCAAATCCTGTAGGACTTCTAAGGTATAAAAATAATTTTAGGCTTTATTATAGAATAGGAATCCACTGGAGAATTTAAGCAGAGTAGTGAGTGACCCAACCTAAGTCCTGTCCTTTGGAGAACACGCTGCAGAGGGATAAAAGTGAATAAAGGGAGACCATTTAGGAAGCTACTGTAGTTCCAGGTAACATGCTGAAGGCTTGGACTAGGGTAGTATTTACAGAAGTGCTAAGTTGTCAGATTCTACCTACACACTGAAGGTGGACTATCCAACAATATTCAAGACTTTAAACTCTTTGTTTTCTAACATTTTATCTTTCTAAAAAGTTTCCATAAAACATATGCTTTTAAAAGTCTAAGCATTCATGACAATGTTTAGAAAACTAAGGGCTCCATAAATGTACCTCAAAAGGCCCTCAATAAATTTGTTTTTTTCTGTTTCAGTGACTCACAAGAGAACAAATTTTTCAATTTGGCCTACTAACAAAAAAATCCAATTAAAAAATCTAAAGGCAACCATGAAGACTAAGGTCACTGTGGAGGTGGAAGGTTCACTTTATAAATGTGGTATGAAAGCCTCATATGGGTGAGTCTTACTTCCTCTCAAATACTCCCTCATTTAACTATGAACATTTGTTAAGGGCCGGCCGTATGTCCCAGGCACTGTGCTCCCCTAGGTGGCTGCCATCCCAAACATGAAAGTACCTAAGGATATGTAAAACCAAAAGGATTTAGCCTTACTTTCTAATTATTATATTTATATTAAAATTTATATTAAATATATTAAATTTATATTAAAATGAAACTATAAACTTTACAACACATGACTCTTACAGGTTTCTAATTACTAAATATAAAAAGTAACCCACTATTTAAAGCAAGAGTGTAGTAGATATCTCTGAGGGTACCATATTGTTCACTACAAGCTTGTTTTCTATAATAATTTACAGCTCACCCCACCCTACAAGGGCATCCGATAACCACAGACACATGTATTAGATGGTGTCTTACTGTTGGCCACAACCAACTGGACCAGGAGTAGACACCTGAACAAGGTGGGGCCAACTTGATCAGTTTGCTGATCTTAAATATAATATAATCTTATTCCTACACTCAATGCGATAGGTCAGCAGCCTCCTAATAAACTCCCCATTTTGCTTACACTAGCTAGGATTTCTTTTTACCTGCAACCAAAAGATTTTAAATACTTGTTTCACTTCTCTTCACCTATAATCAATCTATATTCAAGCTTAAATTAAAAATTCATCTATAACTTTTTCTAAAGTACATCCATGCCTTGACACACTTAACAGATTTCAGTTCAACCGTATGTGAACAAGAGTCAGCAGACTAAGTTCAGTCACTCATCTGTTCTCCCTACTGGATTACCAGTTCCTTCTCTGCCTCTTTGCTGGATGTGGAAAAAGGTGTCTGATTCACAAGGTTTTGCAAAGGCTAGGCAACATTATCACCATTCCATTTAAAATAGCCACATAGGCCGGGCGCGGTGGCTCACGCCTGTAATCCTAGCTCTCTGGGAGGCCGAGGCAGGTGGATCGTTGGAGCTCAGAAGTTCAAGACCAGCCTGAGCAAGAGCGAGACCCCGTCTCTACTAAAAATAAAAAAAAAATAAAAAAAAAGTTAATTGGCCAACTGAAAATGGAAAAAAAAAAAATAAAAGAATAAAAAAAATTAAAAAAAATAAAATTAAATAAATAAATAAAATAGCCACATAAATCACCTGTAATAGTCCCAGTAACCACTGAGAATGTAATCTGAAACTTCTTTCCTTTTCTCTAAATTAATAACAATGAATTATTATCGGATAGAAACTCTAACAATTTTCTATAATTGACAGCTGATCTATTTTAACCCCTACACTCAGTTAAGCTGTAGCATAACCAAACCAGTCACATACAACAAACTATTCTACTTAGCAAGTCAAAAAAATTATGCAAAATATCCTTTAAAAAATCAAAATAAGAAGAACATTACTTATATCCTGGCTTTAATAAAGAAAAGAAAAAAGGAAGGAAAGAAGGGAGTGAGGGAAGAAACACAAGATAAGACAAACAAACTAAAACATCCTGAGTGTAGACAACCAATACATCTCCTTAGTCAATAAGTATAAAATTAAAAGCATACCCAGTATATATAAGACTTCTAGCCTTATCGCATTAAATTGTATAATGCTTATTTGCTTTAAGTTCCTGTAATTCTGGGCAGTAGGGAGTCCCTTAGTGAAGAAAGAACAAAATTAAATTGTTTCTGTGAAATGATAGGGCTCTACTAGTTTTTCTCCCACCTTAAAAATACCAAAAATATTAACATTCCATTTCCACTACACCTAACCATGCTTACAGGCAGTATGACAGAAAATCCCAGAACTTAGTGGATGAGGTCAACTACTATGGAGAACAGAATGTAGTAGAGCAAGAAAAGGTAAAGAAAAAAATTAAGAGACTAATACAATGTAGGCAAGCAAAGATAGACTCAACTGTAATAATGGCAGTAGAGACAGAGACAAGTGAACACTGTTTATAATATGGGAAAACAAATAACCTGAATATCTATGAATATGCTCTACCATGCAATGGAATGCTATACAGCAATGAAAATTACAATGTATGCACATATTTACTGGTATAAAGATATTCCTATGCTTATTAAGTGACAACAGCAGATGACATGTTTAATGATTTATCTATAGATATATATATAACTTTTAAATTCACATTCTAAAACCTGAAAAGAATAAGACATTCGCAATTTTTATGTGTGAGTAGGGGAATATGGGTAATTTTCATGTTTTCTTCACATCTTTTTATGTATTACACCTCTTTTTAACTTCCATCTAATATTTTACAACAAATTGACATTCTAAAAACTCTGATCCCCTAGCTTTCAGAAATAGTTTCTCCCTCCTCTGCCCTCCTTTGCCTACTTCTGTTCATTTATCAGCCTCTCTGCTTATTCTGTAGCTAGCTTCACAGACTTCATGCTTTTTATCTAATTACCACCATGTTTTCCCGAAAATAAGACCTACCCATAAAATAAGCCCTAGCAGGATTTCTAAGCATTTGCGCAATATAAGCCCTACCCCAAAAATAAGACCTAGTGATGGGCGTGGCTGCGCAGCACATCTCCACAACCCATGCATTTCATTCTTCTCATCTGCCCCATCATGACAGCTACTACTCCAGAGGTGACCAGAAAGGTGTGGGCAGCCCCACCAACAAGGGCGGCTCCCCCTGTCAGGTCCTGGACATCCTGTGCATGCTGCAAACTGAGGCTTTGAGGGGAAAATAACACATCCCCTGAAAATAAGCCCTAGGGTATCTTCTTGAGGAAAAATAAATATAAGACCCTGTCTTATTTTCGGGGAAACACAGTATTAATAATGGCTATCATTATTGAGTATTAAACTACATGCCAGGAACATTAAAATGCACATCTTTAGTCAACTAGTCCTAACTCTTCATTCAGTACACAGACCCCATTTTTCACATTCCCAACCAAAAAAAGAAAAAAATTGACTAGGCTTAAATACTTCCAAAAATGATCAATGGATCAATGTTAACTCAATATGATTCCCTCTCTTTCTTTAGAGAGTAGCAATATTGTACTATTTAGGAAAGTTCTTTCTTATATTAAGCCAAAACACCTCCCTGTAGAATATTTTCCTTAATCCATCCTCTGAAAAGGGACGAAAAGTTTAGCCACTTTTTCCACAGGTCAGCATTTGAAGACTGCCCTCATTCCTTTCTTGGATCTTCCTCTATAAATAGTAAAACAATTTTAAGCCACTCAACATTTAGGCTACTGGGAAGATTAAATTTTTTTAAAAGGCTACATGCCCAGTATAGCACCTAGCCATGTTATAGACATTCAACAAATAATAAGGCAGGCATCCAGCCTGGCAACATAGCAACTCCCTTTCTTTATAAAAATTTTTTAAAAATTAGCTACTTGGAGGCTGAGGTGGGAGTATCACCAGGAGTCCAGGAGTTTGAGGTTACAGTGAGCTATGATCACGCCACTTCCCTCCAGCCTGGGCAATAGAGCAAGATCCTGTCTCAAAACTAATAATAATAATGATAATTAAAAAAAAAATAGTACTCTCTGGTGAAAACAACACTGAACAAGAAGGCCAGAAAACTAAAATTCTAACCTAACTTCAACTTGCTATTATTATCTAGGCTTCACTGTCCTCCTCTACAAAGTGTTTAGACAGATAAACTCTAAGATTTTCCCATCTATAATTCTGTGACTCTACAGGTAGCCATATAGATTTTTTTAACTATTATATTCAATATTGGTGAAAATGTAATGTGTTTGTACTAATAAAAACACTAATTACAAAAGTATAAACTAATATAACTTTTCTAGAAAGCAATT